CCCGAAATCATCTCAAGATAAGGGGTAGTACACACGAGTCGCCGTCTCCGTGGTACAATAGATGGCATGATATTCTTACTGACACTATTAATTCATCTCATTCAGCGAATTTGCGTTCCTTTGCGTTCAGTGATGGTACGCGCGTCAACTGTAACCCAACACTCCACACTGGCATTAATTAAGGCTTTATTCCCCAACATACGGCGAGCAGCTGCCGTATCCCGGACACCTGCCACGATTTATGTTGTCCATTTGAGGACATTCCTGTCATGAGCGCCATAAGGGAGAGGTGGAAGTGCCGCCACACCTGGACATAACCTGCCCATCTTGGTTTACAGCTGCGCCATACCTCCCGCTCTTATGATTAATGGCGTGTTCTGCCGGCACCCGGCGCCTCCTCCAAGCCTGGCCGACCCTCCCTCCATACATGCCCAGAGGTGTGTACTCACCTATTATAGTACTTCTGTCTAGGTTCCATGTTTTGTGGGAAATTCGAAGTTTTCTCGAATATGAACGGTAATTGACCATTCCTCGGAAAGCGACCCACAACGGTCGACTAACAACCAAGTTCCTAATTACTGCTAGGTGAAGAGAGGCAACGGGTGCAAGGAGACGCGCCTAGCTGTCTCGCCCTGCCCAGGATATGTGTGTGTGTGTGTGTGTGTGTGTGTGTGTGTGTGTGTGTGTGTGTGTGTGTGTGTGTGTGTGTGTGTGTGTGTGTGTGTGTGTGTGTGTGCGTGAGTGTGAGAGCCGTGGGAGTCTATGAATCAAGTTTATAAATAGAATAAGGTAATTGCTTTTGCTTAACTGGCCAATTGTGTTAAACAATTAGGAACAAATCACCTTTCGACGGTGATTCGATTATCTATCTGTCTGTTAATCTCCTGTTGAGCTGTGTAGCTGTCTTTCTGTTATCTAACAGGTAAAGATTGTTCATCCAAGTTTGATCGTCGTGTAAATTTATTTATGTTTGCCTGCTTGTGTTCCATCGTTCGAGGCTGTTTACTTCAAGCTATAGAGAATTACCTGTTTGCTACAGCCTTCGACAATAAGCTTGAGTATAAGACGTTGTGATAAATGATGTTTGTAGAATCTGATTCTGATTGATGTAACTCGGTAATTTCCTAGGACTAGAGGGTTCAGGTATATATATTGAAGACTAATATCATAAGTTATCAAGATCTTCTATATTATTATCCTTTGAGCAAAGAGTACCGGAACTGGACCTCTCTTCAAATCTGGTTTACAGCGCTCTTCCTACCACGGTTCATGGAGTGGCTTCTCTCACACGGGGTGCTCACAGGGCCATGGTGCTCACACGGTCATGGTGCTCACAGAGCCATGGTGCTCACACCGGGATTCTACAGGCTTACATGATACTCTCGTCGAGCTCTCACGAGGATTCTACAGAATTGGTGAGAGGCGGCCCGTCGTCACCCGCGCTACGAGCCTCGACCATTTGTCTTTCCCCCTGGCGATCCTGTCGATAACGATGGCCTGGATAACGATGATTACCTCAAGCTGCTGCCGGAGAACAGCACTGCAAGGCTGTGATTCTACTTGGACCACCTGCGTAAGGTCAACGAACGGATCCCCCTGCGGGCCTAGGGAGCTCCATCAGTGGTTAACTAACGCCATACAGTAATACAAGCAGTATAACAGTATAGTGGCCCCCCTTAACTCACCAGGGATGTATACAGTATACACCGAGTGATGTACCCAGCTTCTCGGTGTAAACAAACTGAGTGTAAGCTCTTGTGGTGACGTCAGTATCCATCCAGAGGTTGACAGACCTTCAGCCTAACACCAGACTAAACTCACGAGGTGGGGAGGGGATGCCAGGGGTTGGGAGATGGTTAGCAGGGGGTGAGGAGTGGTAGCAGGGGGTGGCAGGGAATGCAGGGGGAGGGAAGGGGATGCAGGAGCTGGGGAGGGGAGGCAGGGGGAGGGAGGGGATGCAGGAGCTGGGGAGGGGTGACAGGGGATGATATTACAGAATGTAAAATAAAACACAGAGACTATCGGGTACTAGTGGGCTGTGAGGCTCGTCAGTGTTCAGAAAAGCGAGGCTTTTCGAGCACCCGCCCTGTTACGGGCGGCGCCTCTGAGAAAGTCTTGTTTCTAGTCTTGTTTTCTCTGTAAGAACTCAGGACATTTCGTGTTATTTAATTTTATTAAGTTGATAGGTGTCGTCAAGAGTTTAGAGCTGGATACTCTCTCACCAGTGAGTGTGTACTCTCACATATCGTGGTGAGAAGTCACTTAAACACTATAAAAGTGTTAAACTTAAGCTGAACACTTTAAATAAACAAAATTGGGCTATTCACTTCTTTTTTTATTCTATTGTATTCGCTTCTCTTTCATGACACGAATAACATTGTTTATACGCAAACAGTATTATAAAAATCAATCAATATTCGTATATTGATTAAACGTTTGATACATCTTTGTCAAATATGGAACTGGAGTATGACTGAGTGTGTACAGTGATTGGCCAGTTGGACAGCTGTTGCCTTCTAGTTATCTGTTTTGAGGCGCCGAGGGCAAGCTTGTGGAGCGACACTTGCCAGTGATCCAATGTCAGTAGAAGGAAGCGGGTGTTTGGCTGTCACACTGAAGTTTGAACCTACAGATAGTGCTCCAGTGTCCTGCTGTCACACTGAAGTTTGAACCTACAGATAGTGCTCCAGTGTTCCGCTGTCAGGAACGAGGTGCTCAAAAAAGAGAGTGGTGGTATTAAGCGAGTGGTGAAAGACAGTACCGTCAGGGACGGGTGCAGAAGTGGATTCTTTACAGGATGAATAAGGGAGCGGCGGGCACGCGGACCGCGGCCGGACGCCAGGCTAAGGGAACGCTGCAAAATTTGATGATGGAGGTTATGAGGGTCAGTATAAAATGTTTCTAAAGCTGTAGCAAGGTTGTAAGAGCGTCTCCAAGCTCAAATATTTGATAAATTGAAAGGCGTCTATTTTAATATATTAATGAATTGATATTTCCGTAATGACCAAGAAATAGAACTTAAAATATTGCAAATGTTAGGAAAAGTACTCTTAAATAATAGGGTGGAATGTTCAGCTATATATTACAATAATTTCATATTGACGCAAAGATTTAAATTTATAGTTTTAATAATTTTATGATTAGTTTATTGAAATTTGATGAACTTGCCTGCGCCCTGGCCGGAGGGAGGCAGCTGTGACAAACACCTCGTGACAAATGCTGTTGAAAGAGGTTTGGGTTTAGTGGTAGTTGGACGCTGGTAGTAATTTAATATAAAACCAGGGTTTTAGAGGGGTTGGATATGCAGTGTTGTGGTGACGAGGACTGGACTAGTTGCCACTGCCAGTGTTGTACTCGCCCGCTAATGGTAGGGCTAATGACCTCGGAGCGCCACTCTGAAGGTTGGTAAATGAAACGGTGGCTTCTAAGAACGACAACAGGTGGTTCGGTAATGGGATTAATCGATTCTAGAGCAGTACTGTGTACTACCTGTGTACTACACCCTACGGCAGTGAGGAGTGACTGTAGGCGCGCGCGCGCCTCTTAAGGGGGGGGGGGACTCGAGCAGGTTGTGGTGGTACTACTCCCACCTTTCCTCCTCCCCATGGTACTTTAACCCCCCCCCCCCTCCCAACCACACGCTCGGCTACACAATATATTCCGGCAACACGCGCGGTCTGGAGGCGAGGATGCATTAGCAGGCCTGGCGCTGGTCGCCTAATTGTTCATTCCCTCCAGCACAAAACTGTCGTAGTTCTGAACTAAAAGTACAATTTGTTGCATTAAATTTTAGATACACGCCACCCTGGAGGAATATTGTTGCCTGCTATTATTTAAATTATTTACGACGTGTGGGGGCAGACATAGTGAGGGTGATGGCAGCTGACGTACAGTTCGGTACGTTCATGGCTCACAATCGGGAATCTTGGGTATGAATTCCATCTGGACAGAAATGGTTGGGCAAATTTCCTTTGACCTAGTGCCTCTGTTCACCTAGCAGTAAACAGGTACCCGGAAGCTAGGCAACTCTTGTGGGGTAACATGCTGGAGAGTAGGGGGGGGAGGGGACGTTAAGACCAGCCTCACGTACACACACAGGCTGCCTGTCCCCCAGAAAACGAATTGTATGCCTATCACAACAGCCGTGCACCCCCCCCCCCCCCACGTCTGTCACCTCTGACAGACTAAATATTGAATTCATGAATGTTTCTATATGAAAGTATTTATAATAAAGTTAGATATAAAAAACTGATACTATATTATTTATAGAAATTTGTGTTCTCTAATGATGACAAACAAATGATTTTACAAAAATATTCTCTTGTCATATTTCGCGTCAACTCTTGGTGTTTTAATAGTTATCACAGCAACAACACTCGTGTTGAAGAAGGCAAATAAAACTAAACCTGTTTTCAGATTAATATGTAAATGACAAACGGCCTCGTGTTTAAGCCCATCCTTGTGAGGGCTGTTACTCACAACCTGACCGTGATAAGAAAGGTGGTGCCTCTTGGCTTGTAGTGGCCAAGTGGCTTGCCACATTTCTTGTTGAATTTAGCATTAGTGGCGCCGAAGTTCGGCAACTATCATGTCTACGATATAACTCTAGTCTTATCTTGAACGTGATTGTGCCTACGTCCCTCTCAATAGTTAAGTAATCTACCTCAAATGTATCATTTATTCCCAATACTATTTGTTCGGAACAGTTTATAAGAAATTTATAGATGACGGGGTTTAGAGAAAGTTCTAATACCGTTCCCCCGAGGCATACTTCTTATCGTTGCCGTCAGTAAGGTAGTCCAGGATCCTGGGGTAAGCTTCATAAACAAAATTATCCATAGCATCCCCAGTTCTCAAAGTGCAGTAAGGCAAGATTTTGATCCCAGGTGGAGACGAAACACACCAATCCCTGCTAGAATCCAATCAAGATTAAAGAGCAAATAGCAGTAAATCTTCGTTAACCAGGCACAAAGCCACACTTGAGGACATGAAAATGTATATTTCACTTAACATTACCTTTTATTTAAAACATTTTATAAACATAATGCCTTGCTAGAAGTCTCTCAAAATACGTGAAGGAGAGGCTCGTACACTTTAGTGCAGTCGGGGGGGCCGCTTGCTGCACTTAATTGGAATCACAATTTACTTTACGGAATCAAGTTTGGTATTCAATTCCCAGATGAGCAACTACTGCAGAATATTTATTAAATTGTTCTACTATGTACAGGTCTACAGAGGCCAGTATAGTTATCCAGGACGGTCCCGGCATCCCGTTTTCTGTGACTTTAAAAGGGTTTTCTATGAACATCAGTTATCTAATACTAATATAATTTGATTGAAAGATAAGTACTAAACTGATTATTTATAGCAGTTAAAGAAACTATAAAAATATATTTAAACAGTAAAGCGTTCTCAGTGGGCGCCTTTATTATGTCAAATTTGATCAAATATTTTTTAAATATAATGGGCAACAACTATTTAATTCACAATTATAATGCAATTTAAAACAAGATACTAATCACCGTAGTCTTAGTTCAAAGTTAACGACGAAACGGAATAGTATCTGAAATATAAACATTTGTCGATGATAGTGATAATTTGGCTTATGGATTCCTAGTTTGTGGAGGCGGAGGAAGGAGGGTACAGGAGCATGGTGTGTGTCGGTGTGGTGTGTGTCAGTGTGGTGTGTGTCAGACACAGACAGAGCAGCAACACTCCAGGTGTAAGGGGGGAGTGGGTAAAATTCACGAGTACAAATCACGTTGCTCTGAAAAATTAGCCGTGTTAATTAAATGTTCGCTCGCCTAACATCTCCCAGAATAGTAGTTAAATAAATTAGTGTGTGGATGTGCTCACTAAAATTTATAAAGTGTATACTCATTCTTTGCCAGCCCTGCCTCTCCAAATCGAATAATTTACCAGCAGTAGAAATATAATTTATTATTAATGTTGTATTCCTATTATCGAAATAAGAGTATTGAAATTGCCAGTTGATATTAATATAAAAATGCTACTAAAATTCAAGACACAAAATTTACAGTATTGATTGATTTTTCAGTTTTTTCTCTCTACAAATTGCAATAATGTGAACTGAGAAGTTAGGCCTTACTAATTCAGTCACTTGCACCAGTGCCAAGTGAGAGTGGGTCAGTGTCGGGTGTATGTAGGTGGGTGTTCGGTGTTGAGCGCCCGTGGGTGTAGCAGTGTCTACCTTCATGTAGTACTGAAGTCTGCTGGAGGAACTAGAGTCGGTACAACAAGCAGCTCTGACCCGCTAATTAAGCCATTCGAGTCAGTCTAGGGGTGTGTGTAATCTTGGCAGCCTTTGAACAACAAATGGGGTATAGATTAAATGTATCCTCCTCCTGTCCTCCTCAGATTGAACGGCAGCAAGCGAGAACGACCAGGTCTCGATCCAACGTGCCAAAGGTAAGAGTTAGACCTACCATCACACTCCTCGGATACCTGGGACAGGCTAAGTCTTGCCCTCTCAGCCTTTATGGGGGGGGGGGAGACGTTTCACAGTTGAAGTCAGTTTTAAGCCCACAAGAACTACAGCGTCTCGCTAACACTTCCTTGGTACTTTAGTGCTCGAATTTGTCATTGTCCATGTTCTCAACTTGAGCATCCTCGAATCTAGTTCTTAATCTGCTATTAATGTTACATAATTGTAATACAATATAAATTTTTAATAATTATTACTATTTGTATTTGGATTATAACTTCTGCGTGCCAGTGACAGCCTGTGTTTAAGAATTAATACAATGTTTACTTGTTAACTAGTACACAGTACTCCTTGCCAGTAGCATAATTGCAGATTAGCACTGTTTAATTCATGGCATTTGTCGACTGATGCGACAGCAATCACACTACACTGGCTTCATTTTCGTCAGCCTCTTTATCAGTCTTCCTCTTCATGCTGCTATCCAGAGGCCCGAAGCCACTCTGTCTCCCAGTCCTTCCTGCAGGTATATTAGGCTACAGTTTCATCCACACCTACACTGAGGTCTGGAGAAGTTTCATTTTTTGTTTTTTTGTTTTTCATTCAATAACAAACTGGGTGTCCATCTGCACTTCCTCCTTGACTATCTACACGACTTGTCCGGCGACATTTTTTGTCATCACTTGAGCATACGACGCTGGAAGTCTACAACATCGTCAATTTACATCTTCAGCTTGTGATGCCAACTGTGTACGATGGTCCCAACAAGACGCCTTCGGCGGCGACGTCGCTGGCCCAAGACGCCTTCGGCGGCGACGTCGCTGGCCCAAGACGCCTTCGGCGGCGACGTCGCTGGCCCAAGACGCCTTCGGCGGCGACGTCGCTGGCCCAAGACGCCTTCGGCGGCGACGTCGCTGGCCCAAGACGCCTTTGGCGGCGACGTCGCTGGCCCAAGACAGTTGGCGCCTCAATACAGCATAATTCCGCCCTTGGCGTCGGGCGCTTGCAGCTGTTCCTTGACTTTGGGTTCATGGGTGCCCATGAAGATGATCCCGATGTTGACTACGTGGACGAATATAGCGACCACCACCAACCTGCCGGGAAGGACGAGCATTAGTGCTGGTGTACATGGGACATGGTAGGGGTGTACATGGGACATGGTAGGGGTGTACATGGGACATGGTAGGGGTGTACATGGGACATGGTAGGGGTGTACATGGGACATGGTAGGGGTGAACATGGGACATGGTAGGGGTGTACATGGGACATGGTAGGGGTGTACATGGGACATGGTAGGGGTGTACATGGGACATGGTAGGGGTGTACATGGGACATGGTAGGGGTGTACATGGGACATGGTAGGGGTGTACATGGGACATGGTAGGGGTGTACATGGGACATGGAGGGTGTACTTACATGGTGGGTGTACGCGGGATACTAAATTTTCTATCCCTATGGCACAAACCTGTTATATGTTGTAAACCAAAATAGCTTATTACAAAATTTTCACACTATAACTGAATGAAAATTACAAAATATTTAATCCCCCGTCCTGACGATTTTTAATATATTCCCTTAACTGAAATACACAAAAACGCTAAGTCTGATCACTGTAATCCTTGCCCCTCTACAGATCACTGTAATCCTTGCCCCTCTACAGATCACTGTAATCCTTGCCCCTCTACAGATCACTGTAATCCTTGCCCCTCTACAGATCACTGTAATCCTTGCCCCTCTACAGATCACTGTAATCCTTGCCCCTCTACAGATCACTGTAATCCTTGCCCCTCTACAGATCACTGTAATCCTTGCCCCTCTACAGATCACTGTAATCCTTGCCCCTCTACAGATCACTGTAATCCTTGCCCCTCTACAGATCACTGTAATCCTTGCCCCTCTACAGATCACTGTAATTCCTTGCCCCTCTACAGATCACTGTAATTCCTTGCCCCTCTACAGATCACTGTAATTCCTTGCCCCTCTACAGATCACTGTAATTCCTTGCCCCTCTACAGATCACTGTAATCCTTGCCCCTCTACAGATCACTGTAATTCCTTGCCCCTCTACAGATCACTGTAATCCTTGCCCCTCTACAGATCACTGTAATCCTTGCCCCTCTACAGATCACTGTAATCCTTGCCCCTCTACAGATCACTGTAATTCCTTGCCCCTCTACAGATCACTGTAATCCTTGCCCCTCTACAGATCACTGTAATTCCTTGCCCCTCTACAGATCACTGTAATTCCTTGCCCCTCTACAGATCACTGTAATCCTTGCCCCTCTACAGATCACTGTAATTCCTTGCCCTTGCCTCGACAGAAATATCCGGTAGATCTCTATATTCTCTGGACAGATAAATTTTATAGAAGTCAAATTTAAAGATATTACTTAGCGTACAATTTCCCCATCCACTTTGACCAGCCAGCCAGCGAGCTCGCGCCAGATTGGTTCAACGAGGAAAGATCAAAAGATGCGGCGGTAGAGCGGCGGGAGTGACCGGGAGGGAGTCGGGACTCACCAGTAGGAGTAGCCGTAGACACCCATGCCGTCTGTGGTCCAGCCGTCCTGGGCGTCGTAGAGAAGGACGTTCCCTGAGAGGTGCTGGTGGAACTGCACGGCCCACAGGATCACGCAGATAATGTTGAACAACGCTGTACACAGATTTCAAAAGTTAGTTTTAAGGTACAATGGAGATTAAAAATTAATGGTATTGATCCACTGTTAAGAGTCAAGAGCTAGAAGTTGTGGCTGGGTTCCTCTCGGAACACTCGGGTGAACAGGATAGTTGATAAATTATGTGAAAGATAGTGCTGAATACAACCTGAAGTTCAACAACGGTTATGAGTGAATTTGGTCATCTTTATACCTGGTTAAAAGTAACTGAAGTCAATGTCTAAGCTTGTATGGATGTGAAGTATTGGACCTAGAAAATGGTGATCTTGGTAAGCTTTACTGTGAATGGAGGAAATGGTTTCTCATCTTGGGAGTCCATCCATACACACATTGTAATCTCCTCCTGGCCTCGTGTCTACATCTATACTTCAATAATTTACAGTAGAATGTTGTCTGACGGGACTCTTCCCTCCCGCAGACCCAGTAAGCACACTGTTCAGTCACTCTTACCACTGACCACTGCAAGTTTTCCAGAAATATCAACTCGAGAAATATAACTTTAAGTGTGAAATATAATGGTGTAGCTGGTTAACAGGAGAGTGTGACGAGTCGGCAAATGTCCCTTCAGCTGGATATTTAGGATTCAGGAATGTCCCAAATAATCTTAGTCCTTGGCGATTACATTTTGAAACTGACCAGTACAAGTCAGGGTCGAGGCAAAACTAATCGGGTTGCTGGGAGCATCATGGTGGAGTAGTCGTGTGACTGAGCCTGGTTCTCCTGCCTCGGGAGATGTGGTCATCAGAGGTGGTGACTGACACAGCCTCTCAACTACTCTCCCATTCGTTAAACTGATGACAGCTAGTCGTCAGTGACTGATTACTGTAATTACTCCAAGCTTCATGGATCTATTTTAGTGTAGCACAGCTGGCCTTGAGAGGTGTAGCTCGGCATGTTATAAACGTGGGTAAAAAATGCTCGTTACACTTGTTTAGGTAATTAGCGATGCCTCGTGCGAGTCATCTTGCACGATGACGAAGCCAGATTCAGGTTGTTATAGATTCAGCTACTCGGAACAAGTTCAAAGTAGCACGGGCTATGGTGAGCCCGTAGTGGACTTACCCGGCACAGGAGCGGTGGATCCCTGCAGATTCAGGGCTGGGAAATGTTGATGAGGGGCCAGGTTGAGGTGGGGAGCGGGGGGGAACAACGTGTCGCACTGGTGGTAGGGCCCCGCCCCCCCCCCCCCCCCCATGTTAAGTGATCGTTCGCCAAGGGTGCTGCTGCACACCCTAAACACCCTAATTACATTGAGGAATGTCAATTTGATACATTTCCTTATTACTATAATTGGACTAAATGACCTTTTGTGTGTTAATGGCGGGAAGTGAAGGAGTAATCACGGCGCCATTATTAGTTGGGTTACAGCGAGGCTGTCGGGCGCCGTCTTAATGTGCCGTCGTAAAACAAACATAAAGCCAAACTTGGCAAGTAACAACTGTTGGTGTGACTCTTTTTCATTCATCAACCTGAAGAGTTGTGAATATTATGTTCACTACGCTAGAGGCGTCACCCGTCCAGTCACGCTGAAGGAGCGTCACCCGTCCAGTCACGCTGAAGGAGGCGTCACCCGTCCAGTCACGCTGAAGGAGTAGCAGTCACTACGGGGAAGTGAGGTCTTAGCTCTTCATGCCCCGCCTACTACCCTTGTTGATCCGTTGCGTTATAATAGAACTATTCTAACTTTGGCATTCTCTCCAGCCCGTCCTCCAAAGACCCAGACACACATTCACACATTCTACATTCACATTTAGCTTTGCTCTTCCTCCTTCACCGATTCTCCTCTCCCCCTTCCAGTCTCTCACAAGAGATGTTTTTAACGTAATTTACAAATTTCATTCTTTGCTGGAACAGTTTCATCTACATCAGCATTCATGTATTCCTATTTATTTGTTATTCCCTTCCAAATTCTTTAACATTCTTACCGTGACCATCAGTATGCCATCTATGAGCACCTGCTTAAAATTCCTCACCACTGAACACTCCGGAGCCCTGACATGCTCCAACATAAATATCAAACCATCCACAAATTGGTCATTAGTTTTCACAAGCGTTACTTCTTGGACGAAAACGCTTCTGCATTTAACAACATTCCACAAAACTTTAAGAATGGTCGACTCTCCCACGAGTTGCCTTACGCTTAAGTGTGAGAGAGCCACACATCTCCTGTGCCAGGTGAGTACGACGGGCTCACCATAGCCCGTGCTGCCTGAAACATTTTGTTCAGAGTAGCAGAATCTAAAACAACAATGTGTGATAGGTTGCAGGAACGCACAAGCCACAAATCACTAAGAACTCTAAATGTTAAAAAAAAAATCGAAAAAGGAAAGATTCGAACCCATGACGTCTAGGATCACCCCTAAGCGTACACGGTACCGTGACCACTGTACCATTAATCGGCCCGTGCAAGTGCCAGAATTTGATGGAAATACTGTACCCAAATGGATCCACGAGTGTCGTAGGAGGTTGGTCAGTCGTGGAGCTTAGTTAATAAGCACCATGACTGACCAATCAGTGTAGACGATCAATGGTGCGGTGGTCACGGTACCATGTACCGTTAGGGGTGATCCTGGACGACATGGGTTTCAATCCTGGTCGGGTTATTTATAGTTCTTAGTGATATAAATGGAAATTCCTGTGGTCGAAGGTTGAGGGGAGGTGGGGAGACAGATAGAAGGGTGGGGAGAAGGGGGGGGAAATTGTCGAGATGAGGGGGAGGCGGGGAGAGGAATGATGGGGATGTGAAGAGAGAGGAAAAGAGGGGTGGGGTAAGGGTGGGGAGGGGGAGACTATCCTGGGAACCCCTTTTAGTAAATTCTACATACACCTCATGCACACGTGCAGCTTTCCCACGCTTCACCACCTGCACCGCTGCCTTCCTCCTCCACCACGGGGGTGAGTATCTCCTGGTCGTGCTCGCCTCACGCCGCCAAAACCAATCATGTTTACATTTGCACATCTATCGTCAGCTCCGCCGATCACGCTAGGAGAATACGCTGCTCTCTTTTTAAATGTCATTAATATTCCCCCGATGCTTGTCTTTTATTTAATTACCAACATACCATTGACATTTTACCAGTCTGCTTCCTACACTCTCGTGTTTAACAAAACTTCTCACTCCTTTTAATCTAAGTGTAAGCTGTTTATTGCTCCTTCTTCTCGACTCTTTAAAGAGTCAATATTTTTCTTGAGCACAGAGGCATTTATACTGTCTCCTCTTGGCGTCTGTATAACATCTTCTACCAACTTAGTATTCGTAGCCAAGCTTTCCTGGTATTCAACTCGCACAACGTTGGTTCTCCTCCTCCAAATTGACAACCAAATGTAACTTGCCAACCAAAGCTTTCTCTTCATTTCTCAGCGATTATTCTTTCACATGCTGTAATTTTTAAGAGCCATCATATATTTCAAATTAAATTTAAGCTTAGCATATAACTATCGTGATCCGTCAGATATTAATGACAGTGTAACGTAACATATTTTAACTTTCCTCAGACTTTTCTTTCATAACACAGTATTACTTTTACTTGTGCATATTCATATTTAAATACGTAGTAAGAATACATAATGTTCACTGCATGTGTCTTCCAGTCCAGCGCCAAGTGCTGCACCTGACCACGTACACCCACCGTCATCCTTGGCTTTATAATTCACAACGCTATGAAACATTCCATAGCGGCCACCTTCACTATAGTAAACTCTTCAGGTGCCGCACAAGCATCTCCAATGAATTCCTTGAATCTTATTTTCTCACTTTCGGCCTTTCATTAACCCAGAACATCAAACTTTATCTCCCATAAAAACTTTGTTTCGAGTTAATTTGTTTCTCACACTCGCCGCAGCCGTATGAGATATTTCTGCTCTCTTGGGCATTCCCGGACTCCAGAGTCGAGGCTCATTGGCTTTAATGGGGGAGGCATTTGTGAAGTAAGTCCCCCAATAGTCGCCACCCATCCCAATTTATCTTAGCTAAATAAACTATGGTGGTCAGTTCCTGAACCATTAAGATTCTCTGTAGCCCTGTCCACCTCCGCCCTCAGGATAGGTATGGGGTGCATAATAGACTAAATCTACTGTAGCGACAAAAACGTTATTGAAGTTTGTTGGCTCTGAATTTATTTTGAGAAATAGATTTATTTTATATACAGGAAATGTCTTGTGTGATCATTCTGGCTGTTGTGACTCGCAGGATGGATCATAAATAAACGTATCCAAGATGACAACACGAATCCTTAGGCGATTATCCTCGTTTATGCAAGGATGTCTGTCTTTAGAAAATTTAATGTATATTACAGAATCAAGTTGACCAATCCACACACTAGAAAATGAAGGGACGACGACGTTTCGGTCAGTCCTGGACCATTCTAAAGTCATTCTAAAGTCACAATGACCCGAGTGGTCCAGGACGGACCGAAACGTCGTCGTCCCCTTCATTTTCTAGTGTGTGGATTGGTCATCATACTTCAGCCACGTTGTGACTCGTCGCCTACATACAGAATCAAATTATACTTAGGATATGTATGTAGCCTATTCTGTAAGAACTGGTAAAGGGGAGCCGAGGGCGTCCTGACCTGCGAGAGCGTTCCAGAGGTAGAGTCCCGGGACTCCCGTGATAGCCTCGACGGGCGTTGTGGCCGTGTTGATGACCGCGAACAGCGCCCCCACCACGGCGAACAACATGCCAAGGCTCAGGCACACTATCGTCCCCATCCACAACCCGTAGTCCATGAACTCCAGCTGATCCACTGCGGAAACAAAACACTAGTTAGTCTATTGTTTCATCACAGCCACCTTGACCGCGCTGGTATAAACACCGTATTGTCAGCACCGCTCATTCATGCCTGGAATAAAACTGTGGATTAGCTGCAGCTATGAATGAAAGTAATAAATAGTGGAAATATGGCGCGTTATTTTCAGTGGTTCATTCCTTTCGAAGATTTCTCAGACGGATACAACTCCATGCTTACCGTATTTCCCTTCGAAATAATAATGCACTAATCCAACTTAGGATAACCACTTGGGGGCCCCCCCACAACACCCCACAACTGTACCACCCCTCCCCCCCCCCCCACAACACCCCACTACCTCTCAACCCCCCCCCCCCCCCTCACTACACTACCCCTCAATACTATACACCTCTTTCTAATCAGTCTTTCGTGGGGCTCAGTATCACTTTTTTTTAAGATGTATTTTCTCAATCCTTAACACTATCAGTTGCTTAAATATTGGCAGGGTATTAGAGGTGCTATCTTGGGGTTAGATAAACTATCTAGATAAACTTTCGAAAATGGCAGTGTTTAATGGTGAGGAATGTAAGCTTCTGAGGTTACGTAATGACGATATCAGATGAATGGTATTGAAATTGCTATCGAATTGGAAAAAAAAATTGGGGGGTCATAATTAGTAGGAATTTGAATACAAAAAATCAATGCATAAATGTTCGAAATAAGGCAAATTGGTTACTTGGATTTATTTCTAAAAGTGCTAGCAATAAGCATTTAATGTTATTCATAGATATCTTGCTCTTGTTAGGCACCATTTAGATTCTACACTTCAGTTTTGGTCTCTGTCCTGTACTGTAGAATGGACATAAATTCACTTAGATGCATTCAGAGAAGGATGACAGTTAATCCCGGGAATTGGAAACCCTCCATATAAAGACTGAAAAAGCTTAACATCCATTCCCTAGACTGGAGAAGTTAAGAGACGATATGATTGAAAGGTACAAGTGGATGAATGGGAAGAACAAGTGGGCAGAGTAAATATATCAACATAAAATAGAGAACGAAACAATGGATATAACTCAAATATATTAAGATTTAGAAAAGAACTGAGTAAACGCGGGTTTGGAAGAAGGGTATGTGCGCCAGAGGGCCTCGGCTCCTGTGCCCGGTGGTGGGGTCGGTGCCGCGCCTGCGTCCCCTGCTGTATCCCCTCCTTCTTTGCTCCAGTCTGGGGATTGCCTAGTCCCGTCTGCTGGGGTCGTGCCCTGTGAGGGTCCGGAGTTGGGCCCTTATCGGGATGCCCGGGTGCTTCCGATCCCGTGGTGCTCGTCCACTGTCTGGGTGTCGCGGGTGAAGGAGTTTGTGTATAGGGTGCCTGATAGGATGTCTCAGCCGAGGGCGCCGCCTGGTGGCCGGCTGCCCGCTGACCTGCGGGTGATTTGGGAAGCGTACTGCTTGCGCTTTCCGATACACAAGTTTCCGGAGAAGTATTAGTTCCCGTCTTGCGCACGCTGCTAAGCCGTGCATGGATCAGCTGCCACCGTGATCACGACCCCCCCCCACCCCCACCCCCCCGGTGCGGGGTGTCTCCCTCTAACGTTCGCCTCTGTTTTCGTCGCCACTCTTCTCTCTACGGCCCATCACATCTACCGCTTTTGACTTTCTTCTCCTCCTGACCGTCAACGCGTCTCCTTACATCTGTCCTGGTGCAGTCATCGGGAGGGTTACCCCTTCATGCAAACTGCGCCTATTCTCAAGAAGAAGAAGGAAGAAGGGTTGTTGATTTCTGGACCAGATTACCTGGTAGCGAAACACACGAAAGATCACTTGTTTCAAACGTAAGCTACATGCATACGGGCTCACCATAGCCCGTGCTACCTGGAATTTTTTGTTCCAGGTAGCGAATCTTAAACAACAGTAAGCTACACATAAATGAGTTTGGGTTGAGATAAATAAGAACTCCCATGTATGGGCCAATAAAACTCGTGCAGTTTACGTAATTCTTATGTTCTGATCCGCTAACAAATTTTTGTTTTCTAAATCTGCGCCCACATTAGATGTTTGTAGATTCGGCTACTCGGAACATGTTCCAAGCAGCACGGGCTATGGTGAGCCCGTCGTACTTACCTGGCATAGGAGATATGACCATATTAGCAACTTCAGCATCATAAATGTTGGCTTGGAAGTGGTGGTAGAATATGGAAGAAGTTAACAGGTAACACAATATATTTGGAACCGCTGGAACATTTCAAGCGTAGGCTTTACACCACCCCCCACGGGATGGGTATGGGGTGCATAATAAAGGAAGAAATTGAAATTGGTTGGAGTTGTTTTGGATCGGTTTAAGCAGCTGCTGTCCCGCAAGAGCCAATAATTAACAAAATTTTAACTAGACGTCCACACTTGTTCAATATTTACATGTTGAATGTTTAAAGAAAATAGGTTGACCCAATTTTAATCACTATTGTTTGTGGACCATTTCAAAATAGCAGGGGCATTTTTAGACCATTTAATAAACACTTTAACACTAAAGTAGCACATAACTAGTATACGCGAAATTTATATCAATAGCTTCTAAATGGTACAAAATGTCTATTTAATAAGTGGGATTAAAGACGGAGAGATCAATTGTGGTAAAGATAATAGCGTTATTCATCACAATAGTGCGCGCATTACATCATACAGTAGTTTTAAGTGGTCAGCAGCAGCAGCAGTAGTAGTATACGTCCTTAAAGCTGGCTAATTTTAACTAGTTTCCTTTCTTTTATTAATTATTCGTTCTGGAACATTGCAAGCTTTTAGCATTTTGTGTCGGGGAGCGGAGCCCTTGGAGCCTCCGAGCAGCACCATGGTCAACACACACAATGACAACCCTGGACGAGTTCTGGATGGACACGGACACCAAAGCCGGCCACATTAACACGCTATACACGTACTTACATGGACGCCACACTGCCCGAACATAAATCAGACTTATCACAGCTATCGTAGATACATTTTCAACAGCTCCACTACGACCAACCGGGAGTCTGCGAGGTGCTGGTCTCCAGGGTGGAGCTCTCGGCCACGGGGGTGGTCGTGATGGCCACAGGGGTGGTCGTTGTGGCCACAGGGGTGGTCACGTCGGGCGTGGTGGTGGCGGTGGCTTCGTCGGGAGTCGTGGCGGCGGCGTCGTCTGTGGACGAGTTCTCAGTAGAGTCTGCGACAGTAATGTCCGCCAACGGCATGTCGACAAAACTGTGCCACCTTCGTAGGAGAAAGTCGAGGGCCATCGGGGAAAAGAGTAACCTGCGCGGATCAGTCTCCTCTCCAGGCGACTGTCCCGAGAGCGCCGGCAAGAACTCCAGCGAGGGTCGAGACCGAAGTGCTTTGGGAGACTGACAGTGTTCATTGACGAAGCTACTCTGTTCCGTGTGGTTCTTCACCAGATTCAGGTGATCTATGCGAAGAGCTTTGGTTGCCGCACAGCTGTACATGCAGCTGCCATCCTCACACACCACTGCAACACAGAACAAGTTACACGCTGAAATGCTACATCTTCCCCCTCCCCCCTTCCCTACCCAACCGCTTGGACTGCACGGTAGAGCGACGGTTTCGCTTCATGTAGGTCGGCGTTCAATTCCCGACCGTCCAAGTGGTTGGGCACCATTTCTTCCCCCTGTCCCATTCCTAATCCTTATCCTGACCCCTTCCAAGTGCTATATAGTCGTAATGCCTTGACACTTCCCCTGATAATTCCCTTCCCCCACCCTTCCTCCCCCCAGGGAGCCGGTCGGCCGAGCGGACAGCACGCTGGACTGTGATCCTGTGGTCCCGGGTTCGATCCCGGGCGCCGGCGAGAACCAATGGGCAGAGTTTCTTTCACCCTATGCCCCTGTTACCTAGCAGTAAAATAGGTACCTGGGTTTCAGTCGGCTGTCACGGGCTGCTTCCTGGGGGTGGAGGCCTGGTCGAGGACCGGGCCGCGGGGACACTAAAAAGCCCCGAAATCATCTCAAGATAACCTCAAGATAACCCTCCCACAAAGTTACTACAGTGGCATCACCGTCCATGCCCCCACACAGTCAGGCTGGATTTCACCTACTCAGTCCTATAAATATTACTTGCCATTTTTACTCCAGCTAAGTTAAACTAACATCAGCCGAGCTCTCAATATTAACCTCATTTATATTCTCTTTATTAATAACAAAAAAAGTAATCTTCCATTCTTTCAAAATATTGTTCCCATCGAAGATTATTCATCTCTTGTTTTAACATCATTGTTTTCCATTTTTTTTCCTCCAGTTCTGAAAACACTATAACCAGCCCCTCCCCCCCCCCCCCCCTCCTTTCCTCTCACTCTTCTACCCCTTAAAGCAAACTTCTCTATAACTTCAGAAACGTTTCTCTGAATCCAGCAGTTCGATCAAACCTCTTCCTTGCGCTTATGACTCGGACAGCATGTAAAATTATCACTTGACTCACCTTTGAGGTCGTGTGTTATGGAGGCGATTGACTGGAGTCTGCTCCTGCCCTCGAAGAGGCCAAAGTTGACGTGTCCTGTACTGCTGGGGATGGGCGACTTGCAGTCAGACTCGAACCAGTTCTTAGTCGCCATGGCGGCGGCCAGGAGCGACGCCCCAAGGCAACACATGAAGAACGAGGCAAAAATTGCGCCTCTCCTCCGAGCCGCTTTCTTGTTGCGCGACATGGCGTCGGCGGGTGGCTGCCTGGCGTCGGCGGGTGGCTGGCTGGCAGCAAGATCACACGACGATGGTGGTGGTGTTGTGGGGAGTGAGGCACTTACTGTTAAGCAGCGTGTCCCATTTACATGCAATTCTGTTACATGAAGTTAAATATGTATGATTGTTTAAATCTTGTCATGTTTGCAAGTTCACAAAATGCGCTGATAGCAGTGTTAAAATATAACGACATTCCTATAACTTTAGATAAACAAGCGGGGCAATGTAGAATACATAAAACCAGAATCGTCCACTTCTACTGGGTACTTAGAAACGCAAGAGTACAGATAACACGGTTGACAGACCTACAAGAAGCACTTGAAGTAAATAACTAAAAAAAACTACCATAGACTTAAGATTTCCAATAAAGAAAATTGTGATCGAAAGATTAGCACAAATAATGTTGACCAGACCACACACTAGAAGTTGAAGGGACGACGACGTTTCGGTCCGTCCTGGACCATTCTCAAGTCGATTAGCACAAATAATGTCATTGTCAAACGAGTAATAAATTAGTAATGTTGAGCTAGACAACCTTCTCACGGTGTACTACATCCTAGGGGCCAGATTCACGAAAACACTTACGCAAGTACTTACGAACGTGTACATCTTTCCTCAATCTTTGACAGCTTTGGTTGCATTTATTAAATAGTTTACAAGCATGAAAACTTCCCATTCAACTGTTATTATTGTTATAAACAGCCTCCTGGTTCTTCGGAACTCATTAACTGTTTAATAATTGGAAACAAAGCCACCAAAGATTGAAAAAAGATGTTCAGGTTCGTAAGTGTGTGCGTAAGTGCTTTCGTGAATCTGGCCCCAGGATAATAGTTGGTAGTAATACAACGCCCCGTCATCATTCCTGGCTGTTTGTTGTCGCTCCTCTGGCTGTCTACACTCCTCTATTTCTCCTTGGCAAATTGTGCTTGTGGGAGTCTACCTTACAGCTCTTTGTTCCCACTTTAACTTTCAATCGACCGGGGTTGTGTTTGTGTGTGAGGGTTGTTTGTGTAAAGGGAACTGGGGTTAGGGGTGTGGATAGGGATGGGAGGTGGATAGGGATAGGAGGTGAAGGGGACTGGGTGTGTGGAGGAGAGAAAGGGGGTGGTTGTGTATTTAATAAAGGGGGTGGTTGTGTATTTAATAAAGGGGGTGGTTGTGTATTTAATTTATTCGTGCATAAAGGATCTAGCTGTTAATCCCTGCAAAAAAATCTTGGACTCTGACTTTCTAATCGTTTGCGCCTAATATTCCTACTCTTGACCTATTTACCCTTATACCCCCGCGCGTGCACACGCGCGCACAATTGTAGTTGATTGACAGTTGAGAGACGGGACCAAAGAGCCAATAGCTCAACCCCCGCAAGCACAACTAGGCGAGTACACACATCTCTTCCACTGAACATGAGGGGCATAACTGGCCCACTACTCGCGGTGTTCAAAGAGTTCACAAACCCCTCCTAAGAATACATGATCAAGAATACTTGATCAATACGCCAGACTGAGAAAAGCCGTGTCTAACAGATTGGTTGACTGGACCCCCATTCGAAAAGCCTTGTCAAAGACCGGAACTACCACCAAGGCATTAACGAGGGAGTTGTGTGGGGGAGGGGGGGGGATGCGAGTAATAACGAATAACATACACCGCTACAACCCCCCCCCCCCCTCCTCCAGGCTGGAGCATTACACATTAAACAAACACAATTTTTCTTCTCTACACATGAGGAATAATTGCTCTCGTAATTAATGTTCAGCCGTAAGTATAAAACTACACGACCAGTTAACTTCACAATGGAGAACAGAGATAAAAAACTACAGAACTTAAAAATGTTTGACACGCATGCTTGGAGAATTATCCCAGTGGTTTGTTCCTCAACTTGCTTCAGTGTTGACACTTCACTTGGTAGTTTTCCTTCACTGAGGGCAAGCTACACTCGACACCTACGATACAAACATGGTATCAAATTCTTTCAAGTTAAGAGTTGCGGTTCGTTAGGACGACGACCAAAGGTTCCTAATCATTCGACAATTGCTGTTAAGCTCTGTTTTCTGTGTGAGCCAAGTAACCCCCCCTGGGGCAGCACTGCTCCCACCTGCTGTAGACGGATGTTCACTGTTGGTTCCACTGTGATAGTCTCGCTGCCTGTCCCCCCCCGTCCCTTATCACAGTTCACTCGCACATTATCTCGGTATCACTCGGGCATTATCTCTGGTATCTCCTATCAGATGGTTACGCCACTCAGAGTACCGTCCTTGCTTCGTACCGAGAATTTCGGAAGAGTTTTATATTAAGTAATGGAAAACTATATATTAAATTTTGCAAAACGGTTTGCAAATAATAGGGTAAATTTCCTTTTAGACCTTTTGTTTCATGGGCTGCTGGTCTTTTAACTTCACTACTGTGTTGAGAAGTCGCCACCTGGCGCGCACCACACACAAAAAACTAAATAATTTCCTACAGAAAACGGAATCGCATGACTGAATCGTATGGCACATCAAAGGTCGTGAATTACTTGCACACGATAATTACACCACGAGGGTGTAATGGCTGTGTAAAGTATACATTTACACACTTTAGTATCCAACAAATAACGCCAGAAAGTTTAATTTGTTACTGTCGTTGTAATAATGACTAAAATTATATCCAAATTGTGCTTCACTTATCTTTCCAGAGATGCATCACTTTCTCCTGTATTGTTTCGCGAAAGTCGTAACCCGCCGCCACACAGCTCTCCGACGACGTATAGGAGAACTGAGCGATAGACAGCCAGTCGTCGGGAAGGTCTCGATTACCTGATGGATTTAAAATACGTGGTCACAAGGTTCTCGGCAGCATTATACAGTTTCTCTCTTGCATTTAAAATACGTGGTCACAAGGTTCTCGGCAGCATTATACAGTTTCTCTCTTGCATTTAAAATACGTGGTCACAAGGTTCTCGGCAGTATTATACAGTTTCTCTATTGCATTACTTCAATGCAAGATGTATACGGACACAGTCCTAAGAGGGAGGGCCGTGGCGATGAGTGAGTCAGCAGCAGCACCTGTCCGCCCCAGCAAGCAGCAGCAGTACTAAGCTTGCGTCCCTGTGCGATAAGGACCACCATGTGACGGTAGCCCGGCGCAGTCTCTAGTGTCGACACGATCATGTGTTCACACCAGCTGTGTGACAGACTGGGAGTAAACACCAAATGAAGAGGGTTGATAAATCTGATACTTTCATCCCCATTAATGGAGGCGATGTGAATAGGTTCTGGATTATTTCGTATTATTTTAGTTGGGATATTCCTTACAGATCACTATCTCGGCCTTGATATGGGGCTTTGAAATTTGTTCCAATATTGGCAAGGGGAAGGAGGAAGGTGGGGAGGGGAGTTGACTTGCTGTGAAGTCCTTCTTGTGACCAAGAGAAAGTGGACTAAACGTGTCCTGATGCTGTGTCCCCGGTGCTGGTCCCCCCCCCCCCTCCTCGTTGTCCACTTCTGTCTGGCCACTCAACTGACTCATTGTTGTATTAACATACGAACATTATTTGTAACACACGTACAAATAACTGCAATAATGACTAAATTAAACAGGTCTACTATAGTCTAAACCAAACTTATTTTTTATGGAATAAATCAAGAAATGACTAGTTTAAAGTTTGAAAGGTGATTACACATTGGTAAAACAATGTTTTGTTTACCATCAGATCGGCAAGACAAATATTGGCAAAATGTAATGACAAAATTAGGAAGACAATTTAAAGAACTAATATAAATTTATCACACCGTGATTTAATAGAAATATGCGCACCCCAGCATAATGCAAGCAGATGCTGAGACTGTCCCGGATCAAAACCCCTCTAACACATCTCGTGCGCAACATTGATCCGACTTACAGAACTCAAAATGTCTATTAGTAATCCATCTCTTTGTGACAGCTATTTCAAAATTCCAAATACCAACGGGGGGATTTCCTGCTCTGTGCTACAAGTTGTATGTTCTCTTCTGTGGACCAACTACACCATTGCCACTCATTCTCAAGTTATATTTCCTAACAATCAAGGTGAATCTGGAAGCACGTTATGGGTATGAATAAAATAGAAATATCAGGGGGGAAAGCGCCAAGCCATTACGACTATATAGCACTTGGAAGGGGGGTCAGGATAAGGATTTGGGATGGGACGGTGTGAAAGAATCGTGAAGGCTTTAGTGTTGATGAAATCCCTGACTGGTGACTAGCCACGGCACCGCAGTGACGTGTTGAGACACTAATAATGTATAGATAACGCTTGTTGTAGTGTTTTGCTTAAATAGATAAGAGACCAGACAACGCAGTGAGCATTCACTGACTAATAATAATTTCTCAATTATTTGTTCCACCATATTACTAGCCAACGAGTAGTCAATATGGTTATCATTTTACACAATATAGTATAGGAAATGTAGAGCTGCATTCCTTTTAGAAGAGAGAATTTGAAATTAAATTTAACAGAGTACCTGATCAACCAGGCTGTGATTCATACGTCAGACTGCGAGCAGCCGCGTCCAACAACCTGGTTGACCAGGCTAACAACCAAGAGCTCTGGTTGGTGACCGGGCAGCGGGGACGAGGAGCACCGAAATCATCGTAAGATAACCAGGTGTCTTCCTATTGGTTGCAGCAACAGATATTGAGGACGTGATGGGATGCCGGAAAAGTATCAGACTTCTTCAGATACTTCATAATATCTTAATGGTTTCTTTCTGTATAAACCCGCTGGGTTATTGGGTCATAACAGGCCGCCAGGTCACTGAAGGGGACGCGGCTCGCTGCTTAAATCTAGGCGTAGTTATCACTGATACAAGATATGATAGGCACACTATCCCCCCCCACCCCACCTCCTCCTCCCCCTACCCCTCTCGCTATCAAACTCAATTTCACTTCAACACTGCTGTTTTGAGAATACATTCAAACCTCGACCCGTCTTCCTAATAGAACATCGCATTTTGACGTATACTCTACCTAAGGTCAAACATTGTCGTACCAGAAAAATGATAGCAGTTCGCGACATACTGAAATTGAGGTTTTGGGTCCTCTGGTAGGTTAGGATAGGGGACTTTAGTGCGAAAGTTTCTTGACGTGGGGGAACTTTAGGAGGAAGGGCTGCAAATCTACACATTCAAATATAACGAATTAGCATTTAACTTGAAGGTAACTGATGCCGTTTGGTCTGAAGTTCGAAACGGCTACAAAAAAAAACTGTTGCTTTCTCAAACCCCGACACATTCCACACTCTCTCGGACGGCACAGCTTGGCTGGGAGTCTGTTTCAACCTCACGCACTCTAGTTCAGAGTTAACCCGTTTAAAGCGCGTGTTCGAAAACAATTGCGTCCTTAAATCACCAGCCAAATTAGGGTTTTCCTGTCAGTTTATCCTATTTGTGGTACTTGGTCGATATTTTCAGAGTGGCGCCTGGGCTGAGGAGTGGCGGTGAAATAGTATTTGCCAAGTGAGCTTAAGTTAGAAGAGAACAAATCTAGTTCAAATTATTGCTAAATAAATTAGTAGATATGATTTAAACAGATGTTTTGTGCATGCGTCATCCTATTGTGGTGTTGCTTAAATTAAACAAACATTATTTTCACCCGCGGGGAAATACGACAGGTTTTAAGGTGAATAAAAGTAATTTAGAGCAGAATAAAATTTAATTGTTTTTTCTTTAAGCACAAAGAAAACTGAATTTAATGTTCAACTGGTAAGGCAAAATTATAAATTGTCAGTAGAATAGATTTCCACGCAGAATATATTAATAGGAATGTATAAATTTAAGTCTTTTATTATAAAAGGTAACATATCCGTAAAAAAAAAATTGAAAAAAATCAGTCCGGCGTAAAGTTTGCATATGGTGGCCTGAAACCGTTTAACGGAGCAAGGAAAAAAAATCATTTTTACGTTCTGAAATTCAAAAGCTTTTCTATTTTCAATCACCAGACGTTACAAATCTTCCAAATGCTGGTCGCCAGCTTGGAAGCGGACGACAGCCACGGACTCGAGGAATTAAAGGATTGGAAGGAAGGATGTAGGATGAGGAATAGGTGTTGGAATATTAAACAGTTTAGACGCAATATACTGATATCCTAAAACAGGATTAAAACTTAGACAGAGGCCTATACTAGAGAGAGGTTTGGTGGGGAGGGGAGAGGGGAAAAATCTATCTTGGGGGGGAAAAAAAGCACCAAGCCATTAAGACTATATAGCACTTGGAAGGGATCAGGATAAGGATTTGAGATGGGACGCGGGAAAGGAATAGTGCCCAACCACTTGGACGGTTGGGAATTGAACGCCGACCTGCTTAAAGGGAGACGGTCGCTCTACCGTCTAGCTCTAAGACTCCCACTCCAATATGGAGAGTTTTAGCGGCAACAACCAGTTATGCTCTAGTGGATATAAAGTTGCTGTTAAAAGTTGTGTAAAATGTTTCTAATTCTTTATACTATATACAGTAAACAATATACACGGTCACTGGAAATTAATACAACTGTACAAAAATAAGTTTTATTGTCCGACATGTTAACATAAAGTTGATATGAATATATACATTTCTTAAAAGTTTCAGTGCGTGACTGTAGATTGGTTCCATCTTGTATTTCAGGAGAAACATAATTTATGATATCAAGACCTCGAGAGAGAGAGAGAGAGAACGAGAACACAATGAGAGTTTTGTCTGGTTCAATCGTTCAAGCCCAGAGGTGTTAACAGCGTAAAATGACCAAACAGATTTGAGATTGAGGCAGTGTTTATATTACCGACAAATATTACATGACCTTCACTTTCTGAACACTGTTGGTTTTCACAGAGGTGTCAGTGAGTTTTTTGTAGCTCTTATATATACCGAAGCTAACCTAATTCTCAATTGAAAATGCCCCAAAGTGCGGAAAACGGCCGCTAAGTATAAGGGGAATTACCAACATGTGCCTAAATGCGTTCGAAATGAAAATTGATAAAAATCAAAAGGGTTCCTGATCACCCGGACTCGGCACCTACTGGGGTCTAGGAGCCGGAAACGCCCTCGAGCTGCTCAGGCTTGAACAAGCAGGAAGCTTGGCTAGGGACTGGGCCGCAAGGGAAAGGGGAGGGGGGGGGGGCACTGACCCCTGGAAATTCCAAGATAGTCACAAAGCTGTAACAATGATGCCCCCTGGAGGAGGTGGATCCCACTCCCTCGGGGGCGCTGCGAATGCTGCAAATTTTGCTGCTAACGGATCATGAATGGTTGCTGTTTATTGACTGAAAATTAATAATAAGGCGTGTGCTCGCACGTGACCATTCACGTGACGTGTGCAGCCTTGAGTGCATGCGTGCACGTTGTGTTCTTGAATGGATCCTCCCGTAAAATGTTCATGCATAAATGTTTGCCCGAGTGTGCTTGCTTGAATACAAGCTTAATGGAATGCGTGAGGACGACCAGCTTGACTAGGAAGTGAAGTGTTGTTGGAGGAGGGAAAGGAAGAGGGGGAGTGGAGGGAAGAGGTGATGAGGGAAGCAAAAAGTTGGAGGTGGGAAGAGAGCGAGTCCCTGTGCCGCGCGAGCAACACTTGTACATAAACAAGTCTTCCCACCGTTGCGCCAGCTGGGGATATGACCAAAACAAATCCACTTACATTACCTACGTTACCGTCCCGGGGCACCTGAACACCGCTACTGAAATGCGGCGCTGTCAGACTTATTCTCTGGCACGACGCGATCGCAGCGTCATATCGCAAAAGATTGCGACGCAAACTGGTGCTTACAGAATAGGAAATAAACTTGAAGAATGGCATGAGGCTATGGGGGAAGTTTTTGGAGGCTTGGAGACAAGACATGGAAGGTGGAGGAAAAGGGGGGAAGGGGAATCAGGAGAAAGCACCAAGCCATTACGAATATATAGCACAGGGAAGGGATAAGGATTTGGGATGGGACGGGCGGAAGGAATGGTGTCCAACCATTTGAACGGTCGTAGATTGAACGATAACCTGCATGAAGAGACCGTCGCTCTACCGTCCAGCCCAAGTGGTTGGGCAGGTGGAGGAAAAATGAACGACATATTCCGGAGCGCAGAGTCCCTTATGTTG